TTTCCAAAAAGGCATTGAATATTGAAGAATATGTACTTTCCCTAAAGCAATAGTCAATTGCACACATTGAAATAATAAAAATTATGTTTAATTTAAGCACTTTTATAGTCGTTCCCATTCTAAGTTAGCACTTTCGGGCTATGCGTGGATAAAATTGGCAGCTAAAATCACACAGCAAAAACAAAAGAAAACTCTTGCACATCAGGTACTCAAAACAAAAACACGTTTCCCTACGCATTGTATTTGTAGTTGTAGCATCTAGTTACTAATAGTTTCGTAGTAAGTCTTTAAAAAAATATGTTGTACTAGCGTTATACTAAGTTGGTGTCGGCACTTCTTTTTTTGTGGACCTCTCTTCTGACTCCTCTACATCGGTGACTATAGTTAACAAACACTCGAAACACTTTTCAAACACAAAAATACTACTAAAAGTTTTTGATTGCTTTGAAATTAATTTAAACACTATTTTTGTAATAATTATATATATTTATCTCTCATTCTCCCTTCCATACAGACGACTATGCACACCGCTTGCCACCATATGCCGTGCCAATGCCCAACAGACTGCCCACACAACCGTCCATGAGAGCGCCCACAGCAGCGCCGCGCACCCATCTGCCGCCCAGTAATAATAATAACAATAACAGCAACAACAACAATAACAACGCACACCCGCTATATCACGTTAGCAAGCTACCTGCATACGGCGCTGATAATCGACCAGCTTTGCCACCATCGAATGTCAAACGCAAGGCGCACGATCTCGAAAATAGACTCAACTTTCAACTGCCCAACGCCGCTGATCATCCGCCCAATAAACATTTAGTCGCGCCGCCTGTTTACACCGCACCCGACATAGCGCACAAACGACCTATGCCGACACCGGCCTCGACGTTCGCACGTCTGGCCACGCCCGAAGTGGATGAGACGGAGATGGATATGCGTGGCGCTAGAGCTTTACCACCCGATACGGGCTCGGATCATTCGGGTGGCAGTAATGAGACTGTACTGATCGATGATGTTATAGTGTATGCAGACGCCTGAGCGGCATATGTGTAAATCATATAATGCGATTCTCCTAAAACTATGCTGTGCCAGTTGAAAGTGACAGCAAAATATAAGAAATATTTTCGTCCAAACTCACATTAAGCTGCAGACCTTATACTAGCAAACTTTCAAGCGTGATATTTTATACTGACTGTCGTATAAGTGCTTTGAAAGAATTGCATTAACACATGTGATGTTATTGAGAAGATTGGTCCTAGAAGGTAGAGAACACCATTTCTTCATTTAAACTAAGAAAGTTATCACAAAAGATTTATAGAATGTAAATTTAAGCAGATGAAGTTTAATTTAAGGAAGATGAAGTATTGCTTGTGCGCCTAAAAGTATACAACTTTAATATTTCAATGTTTACAGAACAACATACACATATATCCCTTAAATCATAGAATTTCCTGTTTCTAATCAAATATTCATAACATTAGTTTAAAATTGTAAAAAAAAAATAGAACTTTATAAAATATTCGTGGGCGCTTCGTTTTACTTTTATAAATGTAACAATGTCCAAACTCCAGAAAAGCTACCGTTTTTTTTCTGTTTATTTTCCTATGCACTAACTTTGGTAAATTTTTTTTTCACAAACTAAAGCAGACTTTTCAAAAAAAAAGGTACTTAATCACGTTATAGATATTGTAGTTTTACTAAAAATATTTGTCTAAATGAAAAGGATATATGTCTAAATATTGTCATAATACTATCATAAATCACAAAATTTTGGTATGTAAAAAGAAAATAGTGATGGGAAAAAACATCACGTACAATTTTTACAGAATGAGAATTTCACAGAACAAGTAGAACACTTACTATAATACTATTTCGACACTTAAGTTAATTTCCATGCCATGAATATAAAATCTTCACACATCTCGACTGAATTTCCCAAATATAGATTTTCTGAACAAGTGGTACACTATTTATCAATGAATGCATTACCTTTCTGAGAAATACATCACTATTGTTAATAAAAAAAAGAACGTTTATATAAAACTATAAATAATTTGATATATATTATAGTATACAAAAAAGGACATTCTAAATGTTGGCATTTTCAAACGCGCATACACCTATGGCTTGTGATTAATTAGTAATAATTTATATACCATTTAAAATATTAAGTAAGGTAAGACGAAAGCATCATATATGTGTGTGTAGGTATAAATTATATATAAGAATGCCTAACAACCAAACTATTTTTGCTTTATAGACCGTAAGTAACATAACAGTAAAGATATAATTGTATACAAAAAACAATATATTATAGAAAATAAAACGACGAACAACGAGGCTTATGCCACTGTATATATGTATTTAGTTTGTATTTAGTATTGTATTAATAAGTCGTTAACTGTTGTAAAGAAATATATTATATAATTTGTAGGTATGCATATTAACAAATATTTATTGCGATAATGTTAAAAATTATTTAACAAAAATAAATAAAACTCGAAAAATCAAAATAATATTGATAACATTGTGTCTTATTCTCCAATTTGGTGACTTGGTAGGTTGTTAGTTTAACATAGCAGAAATATACTAAATAATATGGCTTTGACTCCGTTCAGCTCTCTAACACATCTCTCACAGCAAATACTATTTAAACCCATTAAACAACCCCTGTTTTAGAAGGTGAAAAGGAAAGAGGTACACTTAATTTTTTCGTCATTTACTTTTCCAATTTAAATACAAAACCAGAAAAAACGTTAACTTCTGCTGCAATATATCTAATATACCCTTCATAGGTGCATTTCTTTTAGTAAATATGTGTTTAAGTTAATGTAAAGACGTGACCGGCCAGTGGATTTCATCCAAAGGAAAACATTTTACTAGTTCTTTTAGCCAAGTTGTTTGCTAGAAACATTAAGATTATTTAATAAAGAAAATGGATCTTTTAGACGGTTATAGTTATATGAATTTTTAAGAAGGTTTATTATAAATATTTACTTAATGGAAAAAACGTATAATATTTATATATTATTACATATACAGGGTCCGGCACTCGAAGCCACTCTGTCAATTAAAAACGCCATAAATTCGGTTTGGAAAATTATTTTGATTTATTTAAAGTACAAAATGTGTGAAAATAATCATAAATTCAATTTTGCTCGATATGGCCACCTTTTGCCTTAACTATGGCCATGAGACGGTCAAAAAACGAATCGCAAGCTGCCCGAATGTGACTTGCCGGTATTTTGGCCCACTCACGGACAATGGCTTTCTTCAGCATCTCGCGGCTGGTGTATTTTTTACTTCGGGCTTTGCTCTCCAAAATGGCTCAGAGAGAATAAACCATTGGATTCGAATCTGGTGAATTCGAGAGAGATTATGTAGTCGTAATGAAGTTCGGAATGTTGTTTTTCAGCCATTCTTGCTTCACTCGCGCTTTGTGAGACGATGCCGAGTCTTGTTGAAACATCCATGGTTTGCGATCGAAATGTGTGTTTGCCCACGGCTTCAAAGTAGCCTCCAGAACAAGTTCACGATAATATGTCGCATTTACTTTGACGCCAGGCTCAATGAAAACAATTGGAGAGCTCCCATCTGCGGTGACAGCGGCCCAAACCATTATTTGTGGAGGGTGCTGTCTCCTGGTGGCCAATCAATGACTTATATTCTCCTATGAACGATCGGTCAAGTAAACCCTATCGTTTTGAAAGTTTACGAGTTCGCTCTCTCAAGTCTTACTTGTTTCTGCTTCGGTGTGAGATCGTGCGCCCTTTGGAACTTCTAAGGCTTGACCTTGAGGTCATTTTTCAATATGCGTCGGATGCTGCGGTCGGATTTTTCAGTTCCTTAGCTTTTGGATTGGCACTTCGTCGTGGATTTCAAGTCGCTTCTTCACTTTCCGAACTATTTCACGTGACGTTGCAGTCTTTTGATGACCACCCCCATAGCGTTTTGCGATGCTACCAGTATCATTGTACCAAGTGATGGTACGATAAACAAAAATTTTATTCACATTAAGGTATTTGAGCTTACGAACAATTGCTGGTTCTGATTTTCCAGCTAAATATAAAGCAATCGATCAAATTACGCTTGAATTCCATCCCTGATCATTTTTGGCAATAAGCTTTTGTACACTTGTGAACAATACTCCGAATTGTCATTCAGCAAATTTATAAACAGCTTATTAAAGTGCGACAACTGCGCGAACGATCTGAAGTTGGTTACACTTTGAGTGCCGGACCCGGTATATCTACAGACACAGAGCAACAATAACTCATACAAAATTTCGTGAATATATATCGTCGTATTATTTAAATATATACTTTAAAGATTCTCCGACGCTTCCTTCTGGGTGTTTCAAACTTCATGGCAAACTTAATATACCCTGTTCAGGGTATAAATATATCTAAAAAAATTGTAAATTTTCAAGTACTTTGTGAAAAAATATCGACAAGTAAACCAGTAACTATACGCTAGTCGTCTAGCATAATAGCTATTTGTCAACGATTTTTTGTTTTCAAAATCATTGTTAATGAGAGAAAGGCCGCTGAAGGCCAAAAGAAGAATAATACGATTAATTTAAATTTCGCACGAAACCCCATCATCAAAATTGTTTCTATGTTGGTATGACTGTCAGTGACATCTATATCACATCAAAATAATCATTAGTATCTATTATACGCTTGTCTTTTTGAAATACATAAAGTACATTCCTCGATTTTTAGGATAAATGAAATTATTTTACAAAGAAGTTACATTAAATACTGTGAGCGGAATCCAATTTATGGTGCCGAAACGTTCAGAAGTTGGAAAAGGCTTTCGGTGAAAATTGTTTGTAACGAGCAAGTGTTTTTGAATTTGTAAAGGCTATTTGAGCAAGAAAACTGAAAGCACGATTTGTTCTTAAAACACTCAATTTTTTTGAAAAACACTGTCGCGTTCACGTCTGTGGTTCATGGCATGCTGAAACCTTTTAGTACTGGCGAAGAGTCTTGGTTCTATGCTAACGACCCGGAAACAGACGATCATTCGGCTGGAAATCGTGACAAAGGTGATTTGAAGCCGAAAGGTGATTTGAAGGTCAAAAATCGAGATTATGCTGACAGTTTTTTTCAATTAACGAGGTTTGTGACACTCCGAACTTTTTCCGACCGGCCAAATTGTAACCAGAGGCCGGAATTCTCTTGGTTTTTGCACCGTCGGATACTGCATTTGATTCTTCGTGAGTTTTTGCCACAACAACCCTATTCGCGTGTGACTTCAGCAAACTCAAACGACCGCTCCGGGGAAGCCGTTTTGAGTCAATTAATGTCATTAACCGTTAATCGCTACTCGCATAGAAGGCTATTGCGGAACTTGACTTTAATAACTGTTTTGAAGATTAGATAAAACGTTTATAAAGTCACCTATTTGCCACGAAGAATCCGCCGCAATTCGATTGAAGCCTCTGGTAAAAAAAAAAAAACTAACGCCAATGACGACCAAAGCTTAAATATACTCAAAACACACATAGTTCAAATCAAACTTTTCTATATCCCATCCATGGCTGAAACCAATAAATTTAATTTATCAATGCCAACTTTGAGGTCAGATTTGCTGTGCAAAAGTACTTATTAATTATGCTGGATGTCTGTCGCATCAACAAAACTCCTTTAAGGACTCCACACTAACATGCTTATTCAAGGTTCGAATGCCAGAGTTGAAATTTTTTCATTACGGAAACTCATTAAACTGTCGACATAATTGGAAGCTCATACAAATTTTATTGAAATATATATTCGCTTAATTCGATTTCTTCGAAGAAATGTTTTAATAATCAGATCTTACACGACGTCTAAGAGTAGTATATAAATTTAATCATTTTACTGAAACCGTTTCGATCTTAAAACTTTTGAGCGGTGATAACGCATTTAATTCAGACAGTGCATCTAAAGTTCGTTCCAAATCTGCTGCTTAATAGTCGCGGCAGTTTACATGACACTTAAGGGGTCCAATTTAAAGCTTACGCAAACAAGTGCTTAACCACCACGGTGTTGCAAGTAATATTAAAAATTTACTTATCGGCTGTTGTTAATTGATTAACAATTTCGTGAAGTGATTTTCATATCTCCGCAAAATCTGTACCCGTTTGAAGCTGGTTAGCCTTCTCTAGTACTTAGCCGTAGCCAACCAGAAACTAGTCAATAAACAATTAACAGCGGTAATTCGTGAAACTTTAAAACCACTTTATATTTATTATTACATTTCGTCACTAGTTAAGTGACGAGTTCTAACTCACTGCAGCCACCGCATAAATATAAAGCTTTGGTCCAGAACGGCGCCATATAGAATGCGAACGTATACTCAGAAAAATTGGAGTCGTTGAGATACTGCGCGTATTTTAGATTTGCATACGACGTGACGCTAAATGTAGCATTCATTCATTTAACACACGCTGTAATGCAGGTCTGCATACATATGTATATTGCATACATTCAACAGTCTGGATAAAAAGTACTCATAGAATTTGAAACAATTCAAAAAATCTCAAGTATTGAGGAAGAGATGTGAGATAAGGAAAAAGTATTATATTATATTATCCATATTGCTAAGAAACTTTAAACAAGCTGATTTCATATGAAGCCACGAGTAATCTCACTTGGACTGGTAAAGAATGGCTTGTTGTGATGCTCAGGACTCCTAAGATTGAATTAAAAATACCATAGCTAATCGACAAAACGAGTGTTGCCACGAACTTATTGAGGGGGCTAATATCAATTTCATTTCGCCGGGTTCGTAAAAAGTGTGGTAAGCTTCCACTTTTGTCTGGCGAAAGCCGGACAGTGGATGAGAAAGTTTCTACATATTTCCACCTCATCTTTATCATTGCAACTTTATCAAGTTGCGCCCTCCAAATTCTTTAGTCTCGCCGTGTAAGTGCCAATGGAACAATGTCTAGGCCTACCATTGCAGCGTTTGTGCTGACTGCTGACCAAAGCTTACTGAGCTCGCACAAAACCCATAATGGTATTTGGTTATAGCTGCCTTCTCTTGCAAGTTCCACAGTGGACAAGCAACCAAACAATTTTAAGCTGAATGGAGCTTGGGGCTACTGCTAGCGGGGTCATGCACTCCCCGATTAGCATTGGCATCAGTGACCTTAAGAGATGTTTAGTAGCTCTCTTAACGAAGTGGATGCATACCTTCTTAAAAGAAGGCGCGCATCGGAAAGGTACACCTTAAAAACTCTATAGTCGACTGGCAGAGACTCACCAGAGTTGACTAACAGCTTTGAATAAAAGACTCCAACTTGAGCGTCAATCCAATCATGAAAAAGCTTACTACGTCTTGTCTCCAGCAATACCAAATATATCTCGGAGCTACATGCGCGGGGAAGAAGGCGTTAAGAATGGTACAAGGTATCAGCGATGGAGTCGAATTGAGAGAGGATTTCGGAGTGTCCTTCTCTTGAACTCTTA